AGAAGAAAAAAATAAGCATGAAATAGTAATTGCCAAGTACAGTAATGGAGTTTTGTGTCTAAAATAAGTCTTTGTAAGGGCTCTATTTTTCATTGAGACAATGTGCCAGCTGAGGAAGAAATTTCACAAGGCCTCTTTTACCTCCTTGGTAACAAGGACAAGAGAAACCCTGATGATATAGCTGATGTAAATCTTAAGAAAAGTCTCTTAGCAGACTAAAATGGATTACCAGATGTTCTTTCTGAGATGTTGCAAGAAAGCACTATGGAGGTCAGGAATTCTAGTTAGTTTTGCTACTAGCTCAAGATTCAGGGTTTTTAAAGTATTAACTTGTAATACTTTCTAAAAGTATTTAATGGCTGTTTTTTCCATTTCATCATTCATCCGATTGGCCCTATAGTTTCTCTACAGTTTATTCCTTCAGACAACTTCAAAATCCAAGGCAACCTTGCTTAGGCTGATGAATTCATATCAGCTTGTATGTTAAAATCCAACCAGAAGAGGAGTTAGTAACTTCCTCTTTCTACCGCATTAAGAAACTGTTTCACTTGTATCTGTTCTACCTGGATTGCAGGGTGTGACCCCTTTTCCTAGCATTGCATTTGTATTTTTCTCATTACCCAGTATCTGAATTCTACCTGCCCACCTAAACCAACAGTACTCTGCCTCTGGATCTTGCCTGCCCAAATCCGTAGCATTCAGATGCTCCGGCCTGAAGTTGGCTTCTGGACTACTTTGTTTAGGGACCCACGTATATTTCCAAATTAGGCCTTCCATGGAGAGAACTCCTTTTTTAAAAAGTAGTTGAGAATTCCCTTTGTTATTTATTTGTTTTTTTTGTTTGTTTTTAATTTTAATTTTTCTTTTTTTTTTTGAGTCTTGTTCTGTCGCCCAGGCTGGAGTGCAGTGGCCTGATCTTGGCTCACTGCAACCTTCGCCTCCGGGGTTCAAATGATTCTCCTGCCTATGCCTCCCGAGTAGCTGAGATTACAGGCACACACCACCAGGCTCAGCTAATTTTTGTACTTTTAGTAGAGGGTTTTGCTGTATTGGCCAGGCTGGCCTCGAATTCCTGACCTTATGATCTGCCTGCCTCAGCCTCCCAAAGTGCTGAGATTACTGGTGTGAGCCACTGCGCTCTGCTGAAAATTCCCTTTTTTAAAGCTGAGTTTACTTTTCATCTTACCTGTTACAGTATTATAATCTATTATATAAAATTCTGCTTAATTTTCATTTTAATGTATTCATATAGAATGTATAATTTTATAATTTGTGATATCTAATATATTTTAACTAAACATAATTTCCATATATAAAGAAAACAAAATGAAAACATCTGACAGTAGATAATACTATTTGAGTTAATACTGAATGATCTGATTTATTTAGCATGGCAATTTTTAAAGATAAATCAGAATTGTTAAGAATCCTGTTTCCAGTACAGTCTTAAAATCTTGGCATTCTCTGTTTTTCAAAGTATTTACTTTTCATATTCAATATTTTTCTATTTAGTTTCTCTCAGTTGAAACGATAAAAGTTCTCACAAATAATAAAGTGACTTTTTTAGGTTAAATCTTTTTTATAATCTTTCAATTATCTTACTTGCTCTGATGGGGGAAAAATGCTTTAACCATAGGCATATCTAAAGAAATAATTTAGGATTCATTGAAGAATTTATAGGATAATTAAGAATAATATGCAAAATGAAGTGAAAATACAAATTATAAGTGAAAATGTTCATTAGATTAATTTGATGATGCTCATGTTGAGAATCTGTAAGTTATTTTCTGCATTGTCCTCATTTTTAAAGTCTCGAACAATGAAACGTTTATTACTTCTCAGTTATGTGTGTACAGCTATTCATTCATCCAACAAGTCTCTTTGTTCAGAGGCACTTGCCTCTGTTACTAGTCTCTTCAGTGTCATTGGGATACATTTTATTAAGATAACAATTGAGCATGTACAAGAAGCTAAAGCTTACCCACAGGTTTAGAAGGCCATGAAATGAAGCAGAAATAAAAGGTTATAATGTGCTATAATAAAATTTGTATTTCTGAATATTATGCTAAAGAAGTATTTTAGGTAGCTCGGTAACTTTGCCAGAGGAATGACAGTGTAAACAGAAGCTTAAACTGTTTCTATCCCAGATAAGTTAATTATGATCAGATTCAAATACTTGAAAATTGGCTCTGCCATTGCTTAGTTGGGAGACCTTAAGCAAGTTACTGTCTTTCTCCAAGCCTTTAAATTTTAAGTAAGATATTGAACTTGGCCCTGTCTTGTCACAAATTTTTATAATACTAAAAGGCAGCCTTCAATATATTCATTTTGCAAATATTTAGTACACTGACATATTACTTAAAATAGCAGACAGAAACAAATATAAACTCGTAGATTTATGTGGAAAATTCAGTATCATCTTAGAATTCTGGAAATTGTATTTAACTTTGCCATTGTAGAAACTATCTTGGCTGGGCTTATGGCCCACACCTGTAATCCCAGCACTTTGGGAGGCTGAGGCGGGAAGATCACTTGAGGTCAGGAGTTTGGGACCAGCCTGACTAACATGGAGAAACCCCATCTCTACTAAAAATACAAAATTAGCCGTGCGTGGTGGCACATGCCTATAATTTTAGCTACTTCAGAGGCTGAGGCAGGAGAATCGCACCCAGGAGGAGGAGGTTGTAGTGAGCCGAGATTGCGCCATTGCACTCCAGCCTGGGCAACAAGAGTGAAACTCCATCTCAAAAAAAAAAAAAGTATGTTGAATATTATTACATTTTATAAATAAAGATGTACCTTATTATCCAGTCTTATACAATGCAGTAGTGTCTCCCATTTTCTACATTTTTAGTTACATGCAGTCAACTGAAGCCTAGAAATACTAAATGGAAAAGCTCAAGAAATAAACAATGCTTAGATTTTAAATTGTGCGTAATTCTGAGTAGCATGATGAAATCTTGCACCATCTTGCCTAGGAAGGCAGTCATCCCTTTTTCCATTGTATCTATGCTATGCTATAGACACTACCTGCCTTTTAGTTACTTAGTAGCCATCATGGTTATCAGATCCTTTGTCCTGGGATGGCAGTGCTTGTGTTCAAGTAACTTACTTATAGTAGCCCCAAAGTGCAAGAGTAGTGATGCTTGCATTTTATTAAATTGTTTTATTTTATTTACTACTATTCTTAATCTTACTGTGCCTAATTTATAAATAAAATTTTATCATAGATATATATGTATTTGAAAGCACATAGCATGTATATATAAAGTTTCATACTCTCCACAGTTTCAGGCATTCACTGGCAGTCTTGGAATGTATACCCTGTAGATAAGGGTGAACTACTGTGTATTATGTGATACGGGTATAGAGGTTTTAAAAATTGTGCTGAATGAATTTTAAGCCAAGGATGTTTGATTACAATTTTTCCTAAGATCAACATTTTTTTTGAGTAGAGTGCTAGTGACTAATGCAGGTTAACTAAAGCTTCAACTTGAATAATTTTATTTTCTTTAAGCAAAATTTTACTTCATTCCAAATGGAACAAAATTACATTGTATTTATGATTTCCCTATGCATTTTAAAGATGTACATTCTAAAGGACTAAAATTACAAACCTTTTCCATTATAACCTATTAGTTGTTAGCGAGGCTATGTACTTGTAAATCTCTCCTACTGCCAGAAATTGTTTGGTTCAGAGGGGATTGGGTTATCAAGAATGACTGCTGCTTTTGTTCATGACCGTGTTCTGTATAAGTGATGGAGTTGGACGGTTTCATTCATATGCAGATCTACTTTTTAATAGCATGATGATCTGAGGTGGTGATAATTTGGGGTTTCAAATTCTGAAAAGAAGAATGAATATAGTTTTATTTCATCAATAAGTTATTGTTAAAATACTACTTTTAAATGCCGTGTTTTCTGCTTGCATTTTTATTTTTAAATTTTTATTTAGGTATTTTTTTTTAGACCGAGTTCGCTCTTTTTACCCAGGCTGGAGTGCAATGACGCAATCTCAGCTCACTACACCCTCCCCACCTCCTAGGTTCAAGAGATTCTCCCACCTCAGCCTCCCCAGTAGCTGGGATTACAGGCATGTGCCAACACACCAAGCTAATTTTGTATTTCTAGTAGAGACAGGGTTTCTCTGTGTTAGTAAGGCTGGTCTCAAACTCCCTACTTCAGGTGATCCGCCCACCTCAGCCTGCCAGTGCTGGGATTACAGGCATGAGCCACCGCACCTGGCCTCTGCTTGCGTTTTTAGAGTGACATTATCTTTATTATTAAGGGCCTATTCTAGGCCCAGTACTTCACTATAGTCTATAAAAGATGGTCCCTGCCAGAAAAGAACTGTTAACCTATATGGGAATATTATACTAACATACAATAAACAAGTGGAGAATAATGGAATGTAATCTCTGGCTTGCTAACCTGAAGTGTGGTAGAAGCTCAAAGGAAATGTGGACTTATCAGAGAAGACTTATAAGCGGAGATGAGGCTGGGTGCGGTGGCTCATGCCTGTAATCCCAGCACTTTGGGAGGCTGAGGCGAGTAGATCACCTGAGGTCAGGAGTTCAAGACCAGCCTGGCCAACCTGGTGAAACCCCATGTCTACAAAAATACAAAATTTAGCTGGGTGTGTTGGTGTGCCCTTGTAATCCTATCCACTTGGGAGGCTGGAATAGGAAAATCACTTGAACCCAGGAGGCGGAGGTTGCAGTGAGCGAGACTGCACCATTGCACTCTAGCATGGGCAACAAGAGCAAAACTCTGTCTCAAAAAAAAGGTATGAAAGATGAGCTTGGCTTAAAAAATAGTTAATATTGATTATGTGAAATGAAGGAATGATAACTTGCAAGTGCAGAAAACAACATGAACCAAGACATGATGAAATAGGAAGGAGTAGATACAGTAGAATGAAGGCAAAGAGTAGATATTAGGGAATTGGTAGGGAAATGAGTCTAACCATGTTTGAGATTGTTTTCCTTCCTTTGCATAAGGTACCCTCATTTCTAATCAAAGAAAACAAGGGTATTCAGATTGCCTGCAGCCCTTCAAGAGCCATGGTATGTTGCTTTGAAGAAAAAAAGAAAACAAAAACTTGTAAGAAATACTGGAAGGAAACCTAGGCATAAATAAGTTAACCTTAAATAATTGGGGGTCTGTGGCTTTTAACTCAGCAAATCAGGTGAGAAATCTTGAAAGGAAAGGGTTGCCTAGGAAAAATGCTGCTAGCTAGGATATTTTTTGCCTTAGGTAAGATTGACTTTACCACTATGGGAATAAGTGACTTTACCACAATAATAATAATTGTGTATGAATACCGTAATACTGTTGTTAAACCAAAGAGAAATAATATTTTTTCAAACCTCGCTCAGATTTTCATCTAAGCCTTAGCTCACGTTATTTACTACTAGGATGTCCTTTTACTCATCTTTAGTTGTCTAAATCTTAGGCTGTTTACCCCCTACATGAAGTTTTTCCAGTTCACTTTTCCTCCTCAGCCAAAAATACCATTTCTCTCAAAGCTTCCATACCTGACTTAGAACAAATACATGCTGCCTTATGGGAAGGGGCCATCTTATTCTTTATTGTATATTCTGCAAGACTAGCCTAGTGTCTTAAACATAGTGCGTGTTAAACAAGTGACCATTGATGCTGAAAATCAGCAGTAATACCTTCATGGTAAAGTGTAGAAAGGCTACATACCAGCTAGGCAAATATAGAAATATGCAGGTTATTTCCAGGTAATTTAGGAGTGCTCTACCTTTTACTACCTCATTGACCAGAGCTCTTCTCATTCTATGCCAGCTATTAACATTCATTCCTCAGGTCTCAGGTACCTTAAAATATCATTTTTTTTCCACCAAAACCAGAAACATGTGGGTAGGGGTATGAATAATCAGACCTATAAAATTTCTATATCTTTTTGGGGATTATTAGTGATCTAATTGATAATTTCTAACCTTTCCAATGAAGTGTGAAATTCTATAAAGTTTAAATGTTATTTTTTGGCCTTATTTGTGTATCTCTGAGGAGATAGGAAATGGTAGTAGTATAAAGAATCCTTACATTTAAAAATATTTTTCAAGAAACACCATTATCATAATCACAGAAATAAAAGCATTGAGGATTTGCTGTAATTCTTTAAGATAACTCTAAAATTAATGGGATGTTTTTGAATGCCTGAACTTACTAGAGTCACCTTACTGAGTAATATAGGCTTTCTCATAAATTTTCGTGGACAGTTTTATAAGAGACCAAATGCCTCTCCTCCTCTTCCCAGCTCTGCCTTTCAAAAAGAAACAAACCAGGCAAGTCACACCAAAACGTTAAAAAATATATAAGAAGGCAAAGAAAGTTGTGGATCAAATAAATACTATTCGTTTACTGCTATGACATTTAAGTCCTAATAAGGATTCATTTTTATGTATCCTTGTATAGCATTTATATAGGACATTTATGTCTGTTTTCTAGAACTCAGTGAATAAATTACGTTGATTGAAAAGTCTGTTGCTGTTGGTTTTGGTTTGGCTTTGAGGGTGGCTGACATATTTGTTATATTTACCTTTTAAACAAAAGCCAAGAATTCAACCAGCAATTAAATAATAATTCCTGTGGTGAAGCACTTTACCTTCTATATTGATTTTCTTTATGACCTGTTTTCCAGGTGTAAATTTTGATATCACCATTGCCACCCTCCTCTCAAAAAAGGTGAGAACTGACTAAACGACTGGTACTTAGACCATGTGGAGAAGGCACTGAAACTGGAAACAGAAGCAGACGTCTGTTGAGAGCAGAGTGTCCGCCAATAGCTCCCTTTAGTAGAGGGCAATAAATGCCACATGAGATGATCCCCTCAGCAGAAAACTGTAAGTAACTCTGGGGACTTGCAGGAGAATTGAACAGTTGTTTCTGCTGACTCAGTAAAAATGTCTTCATTTTATAATTTGTGGCCTGCATGCTTGTAAATTAAGATGCATTGAGTTGTCAAGTAATAGACTTGTCTGGATTGTACGTAGGAATTTAAGCCAAAATTGAACGTAGCATTCCCCCAGAAGTAACCTGGGATCTGTGCCATAAAACCTGAAGCAAAGGTTACATGAATTTGCATAGCTAGGTTAAAACTAAGCTATTGAGCTTTGCCTGGAAAACCAATTAGAGGATTTTAGTCTTGATATAGCAGGGAATAGGGAGCATTATAGCCTGTTGACTTGTTTGGAATTAAATGTGGCAATGCTATATATAGAAATGTCTAAGAAATAAAATATGGTAGCAAGGAAACTGGGCATATGACTATTGTAGTAATCTAAGGGTGAAGAAAACCTGAACAGCAATAGTGGCATGAGAAATGGTGGTGACATAATATATTTGAGATATTTCAAAGAAAAAATTTTTGAACATCATGATGGGTTGGATAAATTGGAGGTGTAAAAGATTATACGTTTTCTATACTGGAAGACAGTGGCGGTATCACTAGAAAAAAGGAGGCAAGAAAGTAGTTAAGGCCAGGCTGTGGCTCACACCTGTAATCCTAATACTTTGGGAGGCAGAGGTGGACGGATCATGTGAGGTCAGGAGTTCGAGACCAGCGTGACCAACATGGTGAAACCCCACATCTACTGAAAATACAAAAATCAGCTGGATGTGGTGGCTCATGCCTGTAATCCCATCTACTCGGGAGACTGAGTCAGGAGAATTGCTTGAACCCGGGCAGTGGGGGCTCCTGTCACTACACTGCAGCCTGGGTGATAGAGTGACTCTGTCAAAAAAAAAAGAGAAAGGAAAGGTAAGGAAAAGAAGAGAAGAAAGAAAAGGAAACTAAGGGGAAATGTGTCCCATTTTTGCAATGTATTTGTGATATTTAGACATTAAGTTTGAAATGCCTTCATTTAAGGTCCCTGGATATACAGAACTGGAGTTCCATGTAAAAGTCAGGCTGGAAAGGTAAATTTGGCAGTTACATAAAGCTGATAAGGGTAGAAAAGCTGACTGAAGCTCTTTATGAAGGACAGTAGGTCCCTTTCTAATACACATTTGTGTAAATAAACAATTTCATTAGGTATGTAATCTTAGACATTTTTAGAATTGAATAACTCTACCTTTTTTTTTATAGTGTCGTATCTCAAGCCTGTGCCTGTTAGAAAATCCCTGCACTTAAAACAGCTATGAGAATCAATGACTGAAATGTGTTAATAATACTCTTGAACCATACCTTCTCTTAATAAAACGAAGATCTTTCCCAGTATTAGGCTAAGGGAATGAAAATGAGAACTTAAAGTCCAAATAATTCAGTCAGTTAAAACTTTATAAAATTGACATGGCTTTAATTTCTCAAATGGAAAGCAAGTAATTGAATTGGGGGAAGTGTGCTAGTCTCCAGTTTCAAGAAACAGTACAGCACAAAGACCTGGCATTCTAGCTGAAGAGCTGTAATAATAAACAGAAATTTGAAAACCAGGAAGACAAGTTTTCCAAGAGTGCAACTGTGGCATTTCAAAGGAGATTTAACAAGAAATTCCGGAAGATGGCCAAAAATAGGTTTAGATAATTGAGATTCCTTATTTGAATACTTGTTTTTGATGGAGAAACACACAAGAGGAAATGAAGGTTCTGTCTAAGGTCTGAAACTTTTTTGTCACCCTAAAGCAGGTTTGCTTCTGAAGAAAACTTTTAGCCAAAAAAAATCAAATAGGAATTCAGTGATGCTTAGATTGTAGGAGTTTAAAAAGTGACCAATGCAACCATTTTTAGAAAATTAATTGAAAGCAAATATTTTGGTTTTCTAGGAGCAAAACCTTGTTTTGTAGGATTCCTATTTGTAAAGTTAAAGTATCACTGTTTACCCAGTTACTACTTGCCATAAGAAATAGCCTCCCAGCATCAGACAGAAATACGATGTTATTCTATATCCTTGTTTTTTTATTCTAGTCATAAAACAACTTCTGAAATTGATTTTTAATATGGTCTTTTTTAATGATATGTAAGGAAGCCTTAATCTGCATTTTCAAATTAGTCTTGTAAAACCTCAGTAATATGTCTTGATATATCAGGATCTTTTAGACCATTTTACCTTAATTCTTGAACCACTTGATTAATCCAAATTCAGTAAACCTATGACCTCAAATTGGGTTACCCAGAACTGGGAATATTTTTGTATTTCCATTCTATTTACATCTGACTTACCTGCCTGGTCTGCTAACTTCTCCTTTCTTTTCATGACTTCTAAGTTATGGAGGTAAGTAAAGATTTACTATCAATTATAGTCATGTGACATTCATTTTGAACTTACATTCTCTTAGTTTTTTTAATTGCTAAGCACTCTCGTAGCATTACATTGTTCTTAGCAAATTAGGTATCTCTCAATTTTAACTAGACTATTTTACTCTTTAAATGTACAATTTTGTGTAATTTGCAACAAGTTTATATCCCTATAAACATTTATATTTTCATTTCATTTCCATGTGGCATTACCCAAGCAAACTTCTAATTGAAGATACTCTGGGGTACTTTCTGTAATCTGTAACTTGAGTCAACTCTTTCAGACTGTATTATTTAAACTGTCCTCATCCATCTTTGAATCTACTATAAATCTTGTTTTTCCAAGTGTCTGTTCACTCAGACTATAGTTTCCAAATGTTTCAGTTCAGCTCACTTGAGCCTGTTAGATGCACAACACTGTTGGGGAGTATGAAGACCACTATAGCATAGTCTCAGTCCTCATCTTAAAAGAACTCATGGAACCTTAAACATTGCAGCCAGATTTCTTTGGAGGCCTCTTGTTACAAAAAGGGTAGACCAGGTGTAGTGGCACATGCCTGTAATCCCAACACTTTGGGAGGGTGAGGTGGAAGGACTGCTTGAGCCCACCAGCCTGGGCAACACAGTAAGACTTCATCTTTACAAAAAGAAAAAATTAGCCAGGCATGGTGGCATGCATTTGTAGTCCCAGGTACTCAAGAGACTGAGGCTGGAGGATAGCTTTAGCTCTGGATTTTGAGGTTACAGTGAGCCATTGTAGCATCACTGCACTCTAGCTGGGTGACAGGGTGAAATACTGCTTCAAAAAAAAAAAAAAAACGCAAACCAACAACAACAAAATCAAAAGGGTAAAATAAATCTCTCCTGTTTGGCCTCATACTCATGAACCCAAAGAAATTCACATTCTTTCCAGAAGTGTTTTGAAATGATAAATAATAATATGAAATAGAAACAGTTATTTGGTATGTTTTACCCTGTTGATAAAAGGCCATTTTTTAAATAAAAAGCCATTTGTTTTAGTGATTTCTGGATTTTGAGGTGTTGATGTGAAATATGAAGGTGCAGAAGACTGCCTACCTAAAACCCGTTGTGTGGTTAAACAAGTCTTAAGTACAGTTTAGTTTTGGAAGCAAGGTCTTATTTATTTTGCTACATGTTTAGTTCTCTTTTTATTCTGTGCCATGCTTAATATCCATTTTCCATTTTCACCCATGTGAGACTTTAGCTTTTTATCCATGAAAATATTTTTGATTGAATCTATCTCATAGTTAAATATTAAGGCATTTTAGATGATGAGTTTTTTCATAAAAAATTGTACTTTTCCTTTATAATAGGCCCAACAGAAATTCTAGTAATATTTTTTTTGAGACAGAATCTCACTCTGTCACGTAGGTTGGAGTGCAGTGGCACAATCTCAGCTCACTGCAACCTCTACCTCCCAAGTTCAAGCGACTCTCCTGTCTCAACCTCCTGAGTAGCTGGGGACTACAGGGGCATACCACCATGCTCAGCAAATTTTTGTAATTTTTGGTTGATACAGGGTTTCACCACGCTGGCCAGGCAGGTCTCCTGACTTCAGACGATTCGCCCACTTGGTGTCCCAGAGTGCTGGGATTACAGGCATGAGCCACCACACCTGGCCAGAAATCCTAATAAGTCTTGAGGTATAGTTCTATAGCAAAGCTGGTAATTGCGATTTTTTGGAGTTTGTTGTTGTTGTTGTTGTTGTTGTTGTTAATGTTGTTTTCAAATAGAGATGGGGCTCTCACTCTGTTGCCCAAGCTGATCTCAAACTCCTCGGCTCAAGGATCCTCCCGCCTTGACCTCTCAAAACGCTGGGATTATAACCACCACGCCCAGCCCAGTACTTGTGTTTTTTACTAGGTCATTGATATTCCAGAAATCTAAGTATTTTTTTTTTTTTTTGTAATTTTAAATTTCCTCTATTTCTGAGCATTTGTTTAGAAATGCTAAGTCTGGGCAGCCAAGTGAGGTGGCTCATGCCTTTAATCCCAGCACTTTGGGAGGCCAAGGTGGGCAGATCACCTGAGGTCGGAAGTTCAAGACCAGCCTGACCAACATGGAGAAACCTTATCTCTACTAAAAGTAAAAAATTAACCGGGCATTGGTGGCGCATGCCTGTAATCCCAACTACTTGGGAGGCTGAGGAGAATTGTTTAAACCCGGGATGTGGAGGTTGCAGTGAGCCGAGATCACGCCATTGCACTCCAGCCTGGGCAACAAGTGTGAAACTCTGTCTAAAAAAATATGCTAAGTCTGCTTTCTCCCATGGGTCCTTTGGCTCCAGGAAGGTAATAAAATTTCATAAATTTTCGTAAATTATTTTTTAAAATTTCCTCACACTTGCAGTGTAACTTGCTAAATAGTCAACTTTCCTAGCACAGAGGAAAAATAGTAAAATATAGGAGATTGAGTACTCTTAGCAAATCTTTTATTACCCCAGCATAGTCTCTAGTGGGATAATTCTCTATTGATACGAACATTTCTGTGATTT